ATATACAGCAGTTCAGAATCACTGGGATGTGTAGGGTATGACCAGGTGTGAGTATGTTAATCATTAAGTGGGAAGATGTCTTTCCTCTTCCCAGAGAAGGATGGTGATCAGGCAGGGGATAGTACAGCAGGAGACGTGAGTCAAACACATTTAGCAGAAGATGGAAATCCCGATCCCCGGTGATTTTCCTCAAGGGATTTGTAGCAGGAGATGGAAGATGCAGAGTTAGATGGTAGGTTGATCATCCTTTTAGCACCAGAGCAATAGGAGGCAGAAGAGGGAAATCTTGCCCTAGCTGTATGCTCCTTTCCTCTTACTCTGGCACCTACAATGTGCCAACGCACTGTGCTAAGTGCTGGGAAAACAAAGAAAAGCAAAAGACAGTCCCTACTCAAGGAATGCACAGTCTAAATGAGAGAGGGGGACAATATGCAAACAACTATGTATAAACAAGTTATATACAGGATAAATTGGAGACAATCAACAAAGAGAAAGCATTAGAATTTTAAGGGAGATCAGAAAAGCTGAGATCTTAGAAAGTGAGATCTTAGCTGGGATTTCAAGGAAGCCAGGGAAGCTAGAAAGTAGAGATGAGGAGGGAGAGCATTTCACACATGAGGGACAATCAGTGAAAATACTCCGAGTTGGAAGATGGAATTTCTTTTTCCTGGAACAGAAAGGAGACCATTGTCACTGAACTGAAGAGTGTATGGGTGGTGTAAAGTATAAGAAGACCAGAGAAATAGAAAGGGACCAGGTTATGAAGGTCTTTGAATGCCAAACAAGATTTTATATTTGACCCTAGAGGGGATAGGGAGGCATCGGAGTTTATTGAGAAAGGAGTTGACATGGTCAGAACTGTGGTCTAGGAAGATCACTTTAAAAGCTGAGTGAAGGATGGACTGGCATGGAAGAAACTTGTGTCAAGGAAACCAACCAGTAGGCTATTATGATGGTCCAGGCATGAGGTGATGAGAGCCTGAACCAGGGTGGCTGTAGAGTAGAGGAGAGAAGAGAATATATGTGATAGGTGTAATGAAGGCAAAATTGACAGGCTTTATAAAAGACTGGATATGGTGGGGAGGGGTGGAGAGAGAGAGACTGGAGAGTTATGAGCCTAGGGGACAGGGAAGATAGTGGCATCCTCAATAGTCACAGGAAAGTTAGGAGGAAGGGAGGGTTTAGGGGGAAAGGTGAGTTCAGTTTGGACATGTTGAGTTTAAGATGCCTGTTGGACAACCAGTACAAGATGTGCAGCAGGCAGTTGGAGATCTAAGTCTGAATTTTGGAAGAGAAGTAAGGGCTGGGTAAGAAAATTAAAATCATCAGTGTGCAGATGACAACTGAATCCTTGGGAACTGATGACATTACCAAGTGAAACAGTATAGAAGGAAAAAAAAAAAGAGGGCCCAGGACAGAGTCATATGGGACACTCATTTTTAGTGGGAATGACCTAAATGAAAATCCAGAAAAGGAGACTGAGAAGGAGTAATCAGATAGGTAGGAGGAGAACCAGGAGAGAGTAGTGTCCTGAAAACCTAGAGAGAAGAGAGTTATCAAGAACAGGATAATCAACAGCCTCAAATGCTGCAGAAAAAAGGGAAGGGTCGTGTGGGAGGTCTGAGAAGAGAAGAGAAGGTTTGAAATAGCTACCATGGGTAGTAGGACAGAGAATCAATTAGAGAAAAGTAAAAAAAAAAATGCCTTGCTACACTAAGGTCCTAGTTGAGATAACAATTTTTATTTTTTAAACTTTTTTTTTTAGGCAATTGGGGTTAAGGGACTTGCCCAGGGTCACATAGCTAGTAAGTGTCAAATATTTGGTCTGAGGCTGGATTTGAACTCAGGTCCTCCTGACTTCAGGGCCAGTGCTTTATCCACTGTACCACCTAGCTGCCCCGAGATAACAATTAAAAAAAATTAATTTAATTTATTTATTTTTAGTTTTCAACATTCACTTCTATGACCTTTTTAGTTTTAAATTTTCTCTACCTCCCTCTCTTCCCCTTCCCCAAGACAGCACGCAATCTGATATATGTTCTACGTATCATTCTTTTTTTTTTTTTTTTTTTGGCTTTTTGGTAAGGCAATCGGGGGTTAAGTGACCTGCCCAGGGTCACACAGCTAGTAAATGTTCAGTGTCTCAGTTTGGATTTGAACTCAGGTCCTCCTGATTCCAAGGCCTGAGCACTATCCACTGTACCACCTAGCTGCCCCATATCATTCTTATTAAACATATTTTCACATTAGTCATGTTGTAAAGAAGAATTAGAACCAATAGGAGGAACCACAAGAAAGAAAAAAACAAACCAGCAACAACAAAAAGAGACCAAATAGTATGCTCCGATCTGCATTCAGACTCCATAGTTCTTTCTCTGGATGTGGAGAGCATTTTCCATCATGAGTCTTTTGGAGTTGTCTTAGATCCCTGCATTGCTGAGAAAAGCCCAAGTCTGTCAAAGTTAGTCATCACACAATGTGGCTGTTGCTGTGTACAATGTTCTCCTAGTTCTGCTCACTTCACTCAGCCTCAGTTCATGTAAGTCTTTCCAGGTTTTTCTGAAGCCTGCCTGCTCATCATTTCTTATAGCACAGTAGTATTACATTACATTTATACAGCACAATTTGTTCAGCCATTCCCCAATTGATGGACATACCCTCAATTTCCAATTCTTGGCCACCACAAAAAGAGCTGCTATAAATATTTTTGTACACAGGAGTCCTTTTCCCATTTTTATGATCTCTTTGAGATACAGCTCTAGAAATGGTATTGCTGGGTCAAAGGGTATGCACATTTTTATAGCCCTTTGCGCATTGTTCCAAATTGCTCTCCTGAATGGTTGGAACAGTTCACAACTTCACCAACAATGCATTAGCATTCCAATTTTCCCACATCTTCTCCAGCATTTATCATTTTCCTGTTTTGTCATGCTAGCCAATTTGATAGGTGTAATGTGGTACCTACAAGTTGTTTTGATTTGCATTTTTCCAATGAATAGTGATTCTGAGCATTTTTTATATGATGAAATAACAATTTATACTAAAACTAGTTAGAATGATTGTGTAACTTCCTCTAGTTCTGTTCAATAGCACCTGAGTAAAAGTAGAAGAGGCAGAATAATATAGAATAATAAAGTGGGTAATAATACAGGATTGGGGATTGGCAAGGCATGAATAGTGATAGAACAAGGAGAAAAAAGGATGTAAGATTAGAGAACTGTGTATATTTGAACTGGCTTATTAAAGGAGTTTCATTAAGACTAGCAAGGAAGGAGAGTGTGGCTAGAGCAGGAGTGGACAAATGGAAAATTACTGAGGATTTGGAAAGATGTGAGGTCATGGTAAAGCTAAGAAGAATAGGTTTAGGAAGACTAAAGGATAAGGAGAAAAGGAATGATGGGAAATTATAATCAGATTAAGCAAGTTCAGCATTCTTGATCATGCAAATCAAATGGAGATGGATGATGGAAAGATCAAAGATGTGCCAATCCCTTTATGTAGCTGAGGTTGAGAGAAGTAGGTTGTGAAAGCTGAATAGACTAAGGAACTGAGAGGTAGTGGTGTTTGAGAAAACATATTTTGAATTCTCCTAGAATAAAGGTAGGAGTTGGAGGGAAGAGGAGGAATGACGGGGAGAGAAACTGTCAGGTACTGAACTCATTGAAAAGAAAGGAAGAATGTACTAGGGGCCAGTAGATAGCCCCTAAGATCTGAAATGGATGATAACTTTAGAAAAAGTGACCCAAGAAAGAGAAGGTTCAGTCAGAGTGATAGGAGCAGAGGGCTTGTAAGTGGCAAAAGGGAACATAATGGCAACATCAGGTTAGGCTGTTTTTTCCTTAAAAGAAAATGAAATGAACAAGACCCACAGATTAGATATTTTCTCTGGTTTCCATAAACTAAAAGCAAAAACAAAACAAAACAAACCCAACAATCAAATACTAAAACAAGAATCATGAAGAAGAGATAGAGCACATACAGGTGATTCTATAGGACAAGTTAGAAGTCCTTACAGGAATTAATACTGTAGAATGTTTATTCTTAAGGGTCCCACTCAGCAATACCCCACAAACTTCCATGTTCCAACAGAGCACATGAAACAACTCACAGGGCGATGCCTAGGACCCAAAGACAGATTCCTCTCCTACTGCAGAGATTCGGCTGGCAGGGTACATGCTACCCTGTTGAAAACAAGTAGCGGACACTCTGCCAAATAACATTGGGAGAGGGAGTCCAGAACCAGGCTTCCTTATGGGCTGGCCCCTAGGGAATGTCAAAGCTTCTGAAATTCTGCCTAGGACATCTAAATCCCACTCCCCTAAACCTACAAAAAGCAGAAGAAGCTAAGTCAACCCCACAAGAGAAGGAAGAGACGATAGGGGGCTAAGCCTTTTTGTAGTGTGCCTGGCACCATGTGAAGCACTTTTTACAAACATCATCTTATTTGATCCTCATAACAACCTTGAAAATTAGTTGCTATCTTTATCCCCATTTTACAGATGGGGAAATTGAGGCAAGGTGAGTCACAGAGCTAGTAGTTGTCTGAGGCTGTCTTTGAACTTCCTAACTACAGGCCCAGGACTCCATCCATTAAACCACCAGAAAGAAACAACAGGGAAGGAACAGGAGTAGGGGGACAGTATGAGTTAGCATGGTTCACTAGTCTACTTTGTTTCTTCTGTAGTTCAGTAGTCTACACACATGTGTAACAATAATAGCTAACAATTATTTAGCATTTTAATTTTTCAACCTTTTTCAATACTACGACTACAGGCAACTCGTGGGCTGTTGGATTCTGTGATGATACTGTAGCATCTACGCTGAGCTATCCCCCAGGATGCATTTGGACTTGCAATGATGGGTCTCTACAGGGTGGCTATTGCTTTGGGTTCCAAGAGTAACCCTATAGATGGCTACTATTATTACCATAGCTCACAAGGCCCCATCAGAGTATTTCCCATTGACAACAAGTAGACAATTAGGTTTTTCAATTAGGCATTTATTAAAATGGCACCATAAGAACAGTTGGTACAAAACATTCCCCCCAAAAGCCTGGGGTATGCTTTCTCACAAATATGCACGATTTCCTTGGGAAGAACGGACTCGGAGTAGAGAGGTAGTGAGGCACACACGTAGAATGCGCATGTCGCAAAGGGTAACTGACAGCTATGGGATCCAGAAAGCCTTGCACTTTTGTAGAGTCTTCACACATCGTTGCTGGGCTGAGAGAGAATCTAAAAGAAGTTTATCACTTAAGCTTCTTTAGCTTGTAAGAGCAAAAGGTGCTACGATGCTTAAGTTTTTGACACTGAAACACTTTTGCTAACAACTCTTGGTGATCATGGTAAACACAAGTTAGCAGAGAATTGGATCACAAGGTCACAGGCACAGAGATAGAAGGGACATGTGATGATGAATATTTGCCTCAGAGAATCCTCAGCAAAGAAGACAACTTACCATTTTTTCAATGATTGCCTGACCACATAATGACTCAGGAACAAATACTTTGATAAAAGAAAATTCAGTGTACTGTCATCCCACAACTTGTCCAAATAGGTGAAGAGGACTAAATCTAGTTAGTACTTTTTCTGCCTAAAATCTGAGTTGTAGAGATTCCCAGGGTACAGAAAACTCCCCACAGACAGCCTGAATCCTCCACAAATTCAAGTTTAGAGATTTAAGACTATATTTCTGATGAAGTAATTCAGGCACAGGGATAGAGTCATAGGACACTGAGATCTATTTTAACCTGTAACCAAACTAACCCATGATAGAGGAAACTGGAAAAGTGGTTACACATGTAGTCAGATAACAACACTAATGCAAGATGTTCCTTGCATGTAATTGCAGTGTTCACTGATACATATAGTAATTACAGCATATCAGTGTACCATAAACATATTTGCCAGTTACATGTAATTTTGTTATTTATCTATTTGCATATGCTATACTATTTATGTATGTTGTATTGTTATATAGAATTACTGACATAATAATACTCTGTTGTTGTTTTTGTTTTTTTTTTTCAGTGAGGCAATTGGGGTTAAGTGACTTGCGCAGGGTCACACAGCTAGTAAGTGTCAAGTGTTTGGTTTGAGGCTGGATTTGAACTCAGGTCCTCCTGACTTCAGGGCCAGTGCTCTATCCACTGTGCCACCTAGCTGCCCCAATAATACTCTGTTTTGATGATTATATATAATTATGCTTATTCAATTATAATTGTGTACCAGAGACATGCATATAATAGAATATTCATATAATTTACACTTGTAAGTCATTGAAAAGATACCCAGAATTTGGAACTATGGACATATATGCTCAAATGCATCCCAGTCAATTTTCAGGCATCAACAAATGTTTAACTAAGGGATGAATGTAAGTGAGGAGGGGAAAGGAAGGGAACACAAATTTATTAATTTGTGGCAGGTCTTGTGCTAAGTGCTTTACAAATAATATCTTGTTTGATCCTAACAACAACCTGGGAAGTAGAGTTATTATTATCCTATTTTTAAAATGAGAAAACTGAGGCATAAAGAGGTTAAGTGACTTGTCCAGGGTCACGTAGCTACTAAGTGTCTAAAGCTGGATTTGACCTCAGATCTTCCTGACTCTAGGCCAAGAACTCTATTCACCGCACCACCTAACTACCATAAAGGAGTTAATCTTTGAAAGTTCAAGAGATAAGTCACAGAAAAGGGAGCAAAAAGAAGGTAAAAAGTGAAAATTTTGGCCACTTATTTGAAATCTTTGTGAAATTCAAATAAGCCCTTTCAGCGAATTAGAAAGGGAGCAACTCAACAGGTTAAACAGAGAGATCTGGATCCCAGGTGGACCTTTAAAAGTCAGTCTAGGTAGAAGTAGGAGTAGAAGAAGAATACAGCTACTGATGATGTGTAGAAAACCCAGAAATAAAGAAGGGGAGAGAGTGAAATGTGGTATGGAAATAGGAAAATGTAAGCATGGAAAGAAGGGATTGCCACAAAGAAGGGAGTCAAAACTATGGGACTGAGGCTAGACAGAACAATCAAACAACATGAAAGCTGGGAGAGATTTTGTGCTACTGTACAGGGATATAAAGTATTCTAACAACCTGCCCCTCCTTACCCCTCTACTGGGAACAGTGAATCAAGAGGTATGACAGAAGGTACCACCAGTACTAGAAAGGATGGAAAAATGGCCAGGGATGAAGTGGCATCTGAAGAGAAGTCAGTTCTCTGTGAGTTCCATAAGACTGAAAGGTCCTTGAGAGTTAGAGATCTAAAATAAAAGGAAATTTGTCATTTATGGTATAGGAGTTCCAGGGGGCACAGCAGAAGGGGTAAGCAGACCTGGACTGAGCGGGGTAGGGTTCCAGTAGAGCTGAATGAAAGAACATGCAGGGGCAACTAGGTGGCACAGTGGATAGAGCACTGGCCCTGAAGTCAGGAGGACCTGAGTTCAAATCCAGTCTCAGACCAAACACTTGACATTTACTAGCTGTGTGACCCTGAGTAAGTCACTTAACCCCAACTGCCTAAAAGAAACCCAAAACAAACGAAAGAACATGCAACAGGAGTTTCAGTTGGGAATGTTTAACTCTTAAGCAATTGAAGACTTAGTATCACTTTAATTAGAAGAGGAAGAGGAGATGAGAGTTTGCTAACCTCTGGGGAATGTATCCAGACCTAGTATCATTAGATAGGAGCAGTTATCAAAGGTATGTAGAACGTAGATAAGTAGAATATTCCAGGTCTTGACATGGTCACTGTCACAAACCTAGTTCATTCCCTCATCAACTGGACTATTGTCTCAGCCTTTCACAATCCATACTTCACACAACTGCCAAATGATCTCATTGAACAGATCTGATCATGTCATCTTCATGTTCAAAAGCTATCAGTGGTTCTCTATTGCTTCTAGGAAAAAAAAACAAAAAACTTTTCAACCTGGCATTTGAGAACCACCACAGTCTAGCTATAATCCATCTACCTTTCCTCACTTTACACTGCCTTCATGGACTCTGTGTTTTAGCCAAAGTGGACTTCTAGCCATGCCTGTGTTTTTGACATGTCATCTCCTATCTACACATATCTAGCAGAAGTCATTCATCATCATGCCCGGAATGGCTTTTTCCATCTTCTGTCTTTCAAAATCCTTATCTTCTTTCAAGTCTCCCCTAATATTGCTAGAGCAAATTTTCTAACCAAGTAATGTCTTCTTCACTCCCCACCTTGTATTATACTTATTCTGTGAAATATTCCATCCACCCACCGTCCCAGTCGAATCTAAACACCTTGAGGGCAGAGACTAGATAATTTTTATCTTAAACTAGTGCCTAAAACATAGTAGGGGTTTAATAGATGGTTGGTGAATTGAAATGAATTCTATCACAAAAGCTAAGTCAATATAGTTGTCATTATAATTTATAATTTAGTATAATGCATATAAAGGGGATAATAATCATGGAGATGTTAACAGAATGCAAAGCAATATGTGTATATATATATGTGTGTGTGTGTGTGTGTGTGTGTATGGCAAAAGAACAAACATAATACACATACCAATAAATACAGACAGTCTTATAATTTTACCTTGGACTCCCCTTCTATGATAATAGTACTCTTCTTCCTTGGTGACTTGAATGTCAACTTTGAAGAATGGCTTAGTTGTTGAATGGCAGCTTCTGCAACTGGATCAGAATCATTCAACCCCAACAATGCTGTAGAGGGGAAGAGTATGTTGATTTCATCAGGATCCTGGATCTTTTGGAATTTTGTTCATTTGAAAGCATAATGAAAGTTCTCATTATAATGTTAAAGTGAAGTACTTATTTCCCATTATAAGAGATATTAAACCATTTCCATGGTAAGACAGAATTATCATAAAAAAAACTTATGACAGTTAAAATCATTAATATCATCAAATAAAAAAAATATAGTAATACTTTTTAAACTTCTGATCTTATCAACCCTAAAAACTAGTCATCAACATGGTTCTTTAACAATACTTTAATGAATAATAAATCCATGATATAACACATATGGGTATGGCAGATACTTGATTTAAGAGACTACAATCCATCCACTTTTTTCTCATCTTCATGGTATTTGAAAAAATAAAAGGGTAGTAATGACATGTTGGTCATGTTTCTAACTTTAATTTTAGCTTTTCCACATCTGAACCAAGTATTAGCCATACTACCAAGCTTATCTTTTTCATCCAACTAGACTAAGTCCTTCATTCTGTATCATGACTGCCCCCCTCCCCAACATGTTATTACTTAGTAGGGAAGAACAGCTGGATAAAGAACAAATCAAATGAAACCATGAGAAAAAAAAGAATCTTGGCGACATTACCTGTATCTGAAGAGGAGAAATCACTGTGGTAAGAAATTGCTTGGACCATGATATCCTTTTCAATGACTTTGACTTTAATAGGAGTTTTCACAGAAAAATCTGCTAAGAAAATATCTATGTTATAAATGACAATCAAATGATTATTCAAATCAGCAATTATACTTAATTAAAGCCATCTGCTAATGTCAATTAAAATTTACACAACTGATAAAGGCAAAAGTTTGACCTCAAGAACTTTTTAATGTTATCTCTTTATAAATTATTCTTTTTGTTTACTCTCAATTTGACCACAGTAAAAAATGGGATTGCTAAAAACCTAATATAATAAAAAACTGTAAACAATAGTTTGAAGCATTTTAATTATACTTAGAATTCTTCATTTATATTTAGGATTCTAGTACAATATAGCATGTTTTTGCTGACATACTTCATTTTTCCATATGTGAATAATAGATTTCTGCTATAGACTCAAGTAAAAAATATCAGTCAATAAAATTAAGAATAGCTATGTTTTAAGGATTGCTGGCTGGATTTGAAAATACCCACCATGCCCAAGTATAGATGTATATTACTGGCACACATTTTCCTTAAGAGAAAGAAATTGATTTAATAGATTAATTCAATAGATTTAATTTTACTTGTTAAATTTTTCCCAATTCAATTTTTGGAATTACTCTGCCACTCACACTTTAAAACGTGAAATGTTTGTAATTAAACTTGGAATAAATAACAAATCAGTAAATAACTACATACAGTATAGGATTATACCTTATTTACAAATATTTGGCCAACCAAATACTTGTTTCATAAAGTTCATACCTGTCAAGGTACCTGATGAGATTGCTAACAAGGATACAAACAGGAGACATAGTCTAAACAACAGTTTACTATACTCTAGAGCTTTACAGTAAGAATAAAAATAATAGCAATATTTACATAGTACCTTCTATGGCCCACGTACTGAGCTAAACTCTTTACAAATATGCTCTCATTTGCACACAAAGTATATATATATAAAAAAAGCACTTTCCTCACAGTACTCTGTGCAGTACATGAATTTATTATCTCCATTTTTATAATCCCCCAGTCATCTCACCAGCCGTCTTATCTCTAGGTCAAAGTTTCCACAGTGTATTTAATTCCTAGCCTGAGGAGAGTGCCCTAATTAATCACCACCCCACTTGGCTCACTATTTCAGGTAGGTCTCAGTCATACTTCACTTCACTTTCTACTCCTCAGCCAGCTGGGGAACAAACCTCCTTATACCCTCTCTCATCCCACACTATGCCTATGCCTATGGATCAGCCTTGGGAATGGACTTGTGTTTCATTGCTATAGGATTTCTAACCCTAACCCTAGTGAAGAAACTTCCTTTGCCAAAGCAAAAAATGAAGGAGTCAGGATCAAAATCTAGGTCTTCAAAGAAATATTGAAACGCTAACCTCAAAACTTCAGAGAAGAGGCATAGATTTTCATTTTTCTCACCAGAATTCAATGCAGGAAATCTACCCACATCCAGTCCAGGATTTGTTTTCATTGTAGTTATAGAAGTAACCATCAGGGCACCACTAGTAGTCCCACAGGGTATCACAGTTTGGTCTTTTTCTGTCTTTGCAGAAGTAACAGGAGGAGGAATTTTCCATGATTTTGGTTCATTTGGTTCTATGTAAAAGAACTAGAAAAGAAATGTTCAAGTTTTTCCACTTTTCCAAATAAAATAAGTGATGATTGAACATTAAAACGCTTAAGTATCAATGAATTAATTATAGATTTTTTCCACTTAAAAATTAACTATCTAAAGCTTTTCTGTGAGATAATACTCAAATAGAGAAGCTAAGAAATAAAAAAGGACATATTAAGGCACTCTACTCAGAGTAAATGGACACCATTGAACTGAAAAGGGTCACTCTCCTGGAGGATACAACAAAACCCAAAGAGAGAGAAATACCTAAAATTAAATTTTAAAAAACACGTGAAGATTATTCAATTTAGTTCACTGCCTTCAGGATGGTAGTATCAACACTTTAAAATGAAGTAAAGGAAGCTGAAAAAATTAAAGGATTTGCCCATATGTCACACAGTTACTGTTGGACTAGAATTCTTATTTCTGCTATCTGTAGGGCCCCCAAAGTAGAGTGGAGGTAACAAGTTCCCCATTACTTCAAGCAGAAGCCAGATAAAGAACTGTTGTAAGTGTTTTAGAAGTGGATTTATGCTCAGACATGCACTGGGCTCTATTAATCTCTGTGGATCCTTCTAATTTTGAGAGTCATGAATTCAAGTCCCCTCATTCCTAGTATGATAATGTTATTTGGCACTAGGTCAGTTCAGATTTTTGGAAAACTAATCAAAAACAACCGATTCCTATATCTTGCCTTCCAGAGGTCCCTTGAATCTCTAAAGTCATCCATGCCTGGGATAGCTCCAGGATGGATCAAGTCCAAAGATAAATCTAACCAAGGGACCCCTAGGAAAATGCTGGAATCAACATTATAGCTGTTTAAAATATTTATATACCTGAAGGTTTCAGTAATTCATGGTTCTTCCCACCCTACTCTCATCAAAATGGGCCTCTTTAAAAAAAAAAAAAGACATATCACTATTGATTAGAGAAATGCTAATTAAAAACACTAAAATACCACGTCATACCTACCAGATTGGCTAACATGATAGAAAAAGAAAATGACAAATGCTGGAGGGGATGTGAAAAATAAGTACATTAATGAACTGTTGGTGGAGTTGTGAAGTTGTCTAACCATTATGGAGAATAATTTGGAACTATGCCCAAAGGGCTATAAAGTTGCATGTACCTTTTGACTCAGCAATACCACCACAAGATCTGTATCCAAAGAGATCAAAGTTAAAAGAAAAGGACCGATATACACAAAAATATTTACAGTAGCTCTTTTTGTGGTGGCAAAGAATTGGAATCAATTGAGGAATGGCCGAACAAATTGCAGTATATAAATGTGATGAAATACTATTGTGCTATAAGAAATGATGAGCAAGATGGTTTCAGAAAAACCTGGGAAGGCTTACCTGAACTAATGCAAAGTGAAGTAAGCAGAACCAGGAGAACATTGTACACAGTAACAGCAATATTGTAACAATGATCAATTGTGAAAGACTTAACTGTTCTAATCAATACGATAGAAGAGAATTCCAAAGGACCCATGATAAAAAATGCTATCCACCTCCAGAAAGAGAACTGATTAACTCTGAATGTGGATTGAAGCATACTTTTTTTTTCCACATTCTTTTTTTTTTTTGGCTCCAGGTAGGGGGGAAAGGGCAAGATAACATGGCTAATTGGGAAATAGCATTTTGTACAACCTCACATGTTTAATTGATATATTGCTTGCCTCTTCAACAAGTGTGTTGAAATAATACTTGAGGGAGTAAGAGAAAATTTGTAACTCTCCCCATCCCCCTAAAATATGCATAGTGTTACCATTTAATCCTGTCAAAACTTCCCTTGAAGAATCATATATGTATAGGGAGCTCCATTATCCCACTAAATCTTTCTTAGGTAAAAACACCTCTTTCTAATGCAATTAAAATTATTCATTTTACTTCCTGTGATCCTCTTGTTTGGTCATGAACTCTTCCCCTATTCAGACCTAACAGGTAATTTTTTACATTCTCAGTTAATTTGCTTATGATATCACCCTTTATATCTACATCATGTATCCATTATGACTTTATCTTGGTGTACAATGTGAGATGTTTGTCTATACCTAGTTTCAGTCAGAATGCTTTCTAGTTTTTGTAGCAGTTTTTATTGAATAATAAATTTTTGCCTCCAAAGCTTCGATCTTTGGGTTTATCAAATACTAGATTACTGTGGTCATTTATATTTATATATTATGTACTTCATCTTTTCTAGTAATCAACTACTCTATTTCATATCTAGTATCAGACTGTTTGATGATTTCTACTTTGTAGGATACATTGAGATCTGGTATTGTTAGGCCACCTTCACTTTAAAAAAAAAATTGATTCCCTTAATATTCTTAATTTTTTGTTCTTTCAGATGATTTTTTTTTTCCTAGATCCATAAAATAGTTCTTTGGTAGTTTGATTGGTACAGCACTGAATAAATAAATTAATTTAGGTAGTAATGTCAATTTTATTATGTTGGCTTATCCTACCCATGAGCAATTAATATTTCCATAGTTGTTTAGACCTGTCTTTATTTGTATGAAAAGTGTTTTGTAATTGTATTCATATAGTTCCAGTGTGTATCCTGGCAAGTGGGCTCCCAAATATTTTATACTGTCTATAGTTATTTTAAATAGAATCTCGGATTTTGTTGGTAATATAGAGAAATGTTAATGATTTATGTGGATTTCTTTTATATCTTGCAACTTTGCTAAATTTGTTGTTTTGACTAGTTTTTTAGTTGATTCTCTAGGATTCTCTAAGTAGAACATCACATCTTGTAGAAAAAGCTATAGTTTTATTTCTCCATTGCCTATTCTTATTCCTTCAGTATCTTTTTCTTGCCTTAATACTAGTTAGCATTTCTAATAATATTAATAATTGTGATGATAATGGACATCCTTGCTTCACCTCTGATCTTATTGGAAAGACTTCTAGTTTTTCCCCATTACAGATAATGCTTGCCTTTGGTTTTTAGACAGATCTCACTGGAAAGACTTCTAGTTTATCCCCATTACAGGCAATGCTTGCTCTTGGTTTTAGATAGATATTACTTATCATTTTAAGAAAAGCTCCACTCATTCCTTTGCTTTCTAGTGTTTTGTTTTCTTCTTCTTTTTAAAAAAATCATATTAAGTGTTTATCGATTTTATTGGGGTTTTTTTCATAAAGCCAGCTCCCAGTTTTATTTGTTAGTTAAATGGTTGTTTTTTTGTTTCTTTTACTTTCAATTTTATTAATCTCTCTTTTGGGGCAGCTAGGTGGCACAGTGGATAGAGCAGCAGCCCTGGATTCAGGAGGACCTGAGTTCAAATGTGGCCTCAGACACATAACACTTACTAGCTGTGTGATCTTGGGCAAGTCATTTAACCCCATTGCCTAGCCACCCCCCCAAAAATCTCTCCTTTGGTTTTCCAGATTTCTATTTTGGTGTTTAATTGGGGATTTTTTATTGTTCTTTTTTAGTGTTTTTAGTTGCATGGCCAATACATTGATCTACTCTTTCTCTCTTTTATTTTACTTCCTGTAACTGTTTAGAGATATTAAAGTTTTCCTAAGTCCTGCTTATGCTGATTTGGTGTGAGTTATCTCATTGTATCATTCTCTTTAATTAAATTATTGATTGTTTTTTCTATGATTTGTTCTTTGACTGACTCATTCTTTAGGATTAGATTATTTAGTTTCCAATTAATTTTTAATCTATTTTTCCATGGCCCTTTATTGAATGTAACATTAATTGCATTATGATCTGAAAAGGGTACACTCACTATTTTTGCATTTGTTTATGAGGTTTTTATGCTCTAATACATGGTCAGTTTTTGTAAAGGTGTCAAGCAAAGCAGAAGAAAAAGATATACTCCTTTCTATTCCCATTTAATTTTTTTCCAGAGGTCTATCTTATCTAACTTTTCTAAAATTCATCTCCTTAACTTCTTTCTTATTTATTTTATGGTTAGAGTTATCTAGTTCCGAGAGAGGTAAATTGAGGTTCTAGTACAGTTAATTCTTCCTGTATTTCACTTAACTTTTCCTTTAAGAATTTGGATGCTATGCCATTTGATGCATATGTTTAGTACTGATATCATTTCATTGTCTATGGTACCTTTCAGCAAAATGTAGTTTCCCTGATTACATTGTTTAACTAGGTCTGTTTTTGCTTTTGCTTTGTCTGAGATCATGATTGTTATTTCTGCCTTTTTTACTTCAGCTGAAGCATTGATAGATTTTTTTCCAGCATATTGTTTCAATTGTTTGTCTTTCTGTTTCAAGCATGTTTCTTATAAATAACATATTTTTAGATTCTGGTTCTAATTCATTCTTTTATCTGCTTCCAATTTATGGGTGAGTTCATCCCATTCACAGTTATGGTTTCTAACTGTGTATTTGCCTGCATCTTATTCTCTTCTGTTTATCCTTTCCTTTTTTTTTTTTTTACCCTGTCCCTCCTCAAAAGTCTGTTTGACTATTTCACATTTTCTTATTTTCTTTTCATTCTTTTGACTTTGTTTTATTGTTCCTGATGTCTCATGGAGTAATTGGCTTCCACTTGACCAATTCTAATTCTTAAGCAGTTATTTTTTTCAGTGAGGTGTTGTACCTCTTTTACCAGTTGGCCGATTCTGTTTTTTAAGGAGTTATTTTCTTCAGTATTTTTTTTTCGCCTTTTTGACCAAACTGTTAATTCTCCTTTCATAATTTTCTTGCATTGCTTTCATTTCTTTTCCTAATTTTTCCTGTGCAACTTTTATTTGGTTTTTAAAATAATATATTTTTTTTGCACTTTTAAAAATCTCTTTCTTTAGCTCTTCTAGGAATTCTGGTTGGGTTTGTGTCCAATCTGAATTTTTCTTTGAGCTTTTGTCTAAAGATGTTTGCATGTCATTGTTTTCTTCTGAGTTTTTTCTTGAGCTTCCCTGTCACCACAGCAATTTTTAATGGACAGTTTCTTTTTTTTATTATTTGATCATTTTTCCAGTCTATTTCTTGACTTTGGACTTTATATTAAAGCTGGGC